CATTCAGTAAATATTTTTCTTCATATTTATTCTAATTCTTTTCTTGTCAAAGAGAATAAATATATGAAAAAATATTCAACATCACTGGTTATTCAAGAGATGCAAATTAAAACAACTCTGAGAGTCCATCTCACACCAGAAAGAGTGCTTGTTATCATGAAATTAACACATGACAAGTGTTGGTGGGGCTGTGGGGAAAAGGAACCCTTCTCGACTGTTGGTGGGAATACAGACTGGTGCAACCACTGTGGAAATCAGTGTAGAGATACCTCAAAGAAATAAAACTAGAGGTTTAATTTGACCCAGTTATTCCCCTTTTCAGAATCTTCCCAAAGCATTTAAAAGCATCGTACCACAGAAATATATATCTAGTCATGTTGACAGTGACACAGTTTGTAAGAGATAAATATTGGAAACAGCCCAAATGCCCATCAACTGATGAATAGATAAAGATGTAGTTTTTTTTTTAAAGGAAGGGTGAGCTTGAGACATTTCTAGTTAAATGGATGAGCCTTGAGACTATACTCTTCAGTGAAAGAAATCAAGTACACATGTTTAAATGCCACACTGTTTCTCTGTGTGAGAAACCAAAAGTAGGAATAAGGACCAAAATGTATAAAAGATATTGGAAAATGCAAAGAAAATGTTCAAATGAGAAGGGAAACAAGGGAGGAGAGAGAGAAAGGAAACAAGGGACAAGAAAAAAGAAAGAATAGAAGCCCCCAAAAATGGAAGCAAAGCTGGTTAAGTGAGAAAGGGAAGAGGGGAGGGGAATGGGGAAAAGAAGGAGAAATAAGATATACCACGTACAGGTACAAATTTCCTGTGATGAATATTATAATTATGTATATCTAAAATGTACCAATAAATGTTTTGTTTAAAAACAGAGAAAAATGGTGAAGGTAGTAGTTTTTAAAAATTAAATTAGCATTTAATTCTTACTTCTTCAGGCTAAACAATATCCTTTCTCAACCTTTTGGTTTTATTCCTTAAAAAGTAATTATTTTCATTTGAGACATCTCTAGTTTTTTGGAAGTCATGCTCATAACTAGGAGACTATAATGAGAAATAACACTTTTAATTAACATTCAATGGAATTTTTCCACATTTTCATAGCCAGGTTTTCTTCTAGATAGACACTTTCATGTTTTTTGTTGCTACTTAAGGTAGGTATGTTTGATCATGATTTACAGATGAAGGAAATGACTCAGAGAGTTTTAGGAAATATATCAAAGTTTATGCAGATTATAATTGGTCAAAATGAGATTCAAGTTCAGAAGCACACCCTTTCATGGAATGAAGCGCTGCTCAATTTAGAACTGGAAAAAAATTAAATCTAAAAAAAGAGTTCAATTCAGTTTTTCTGATTCCAGTTCTGGGAGTCATATGATAAGCAATACTATTTAGAACATAAAAATTTGTTTCAAGCTTTTGCATAGCAGATCAGTAGAAGTAATTCAGATCCCATTATATGATTATTATAATTATACCACATCGATGACTCAGCTGTGAACTGAAGAAAAGGACTCAGAGTGCACCCAGAGAAGAAAAGTACAGTCACCATGTTTAATAGTTCCACCTAGGATACTCTCCACACTCCGGCATGATCCATAAAATGGCTTACTGGCATTATCTTCATTTCTATATAAATACTACTATATTAGTTATCTGTGATTGTATAACAAACTATCTGCCAAAATTATTATCTCTTGGTTCCTGCAGGTGCCTCTGGCACAGCGTCTTTCATGGGGCAGCACTCAGGGTATAGGTCCGGGCTGCTGTCTCATCTGAAGGACGAACCGAGAGACCGTTTCTGAGCTTATTGTGTGTTTGTTGATGTAATTCTGGGCTATTCAGCTGAGGGCTGTAGTTCCTTATTGGCTGCAGATCCCAGTTCTTCACTACTTAGGCTTCTTCACAGGAGGGCTCGCAGCAAGGTAGCCGGCTTCCATCGAAGCAAGAAGGGGAGCAAGACATGAGTCACAGTCTTTCAGGAACTTCATCTTAGAAGCTGTGTCTCAACATATTGTATACGCTACTCATTGGAAGTTCATCATTACATTCATCCTGCACTCAAGAAAAGGGATTGCTGTAAGGCTGTGGATACTATGAGGAAGAGAATATTTGGTACCATGTTGCCTACCACAAATATTTATCAATCTTTTTATATGTTAAAAGATTTTCTGTATATTCTTCCTTCGCTTCCTTCCTTCCCTTTTTCTTCCTTCTTTCCCTTCACTTTTCTTTCCCTCTCCTTCCTTCCTCCCTCTCTCCCTTTCTCTCTCTCTCTCTCTCTCTCTCTCTCTCTCTCTCTCTTTCTTTATACTGAGGATTGAACTCAGGACCTTGCACTTGCGAGGCAGGCATGGCATCACTGAGCTAAACCCCTGGCCCCATAAATTTCTTAAATATTTAAGTTGCCCACTTATTCAGTGATATTTAGAAAGTAAAAATGGTTTTGCTATCACAAGGCTTTTACTTAGTCCTTGTGCCATCTAAATTGGACCTGAAGAAAGAAATAGATTTTAGCCAAGAAAGAAGAGAGTGAGGTGAGGATAAAAGGGAAAAATATATACATATACCAAGGCCCGAAGATGAAAAATAATCAATTATAATATTCAACATTCATACCCATAATCTTACCAGAGTATTACTGTTTCTGATTATTCATAATGAAGTAAACAGATCTGAATAACTGTTAAAGATTAAATAATGATTTTTTTTCTATTTTATCGTAGTTATTTTCTAAATTTGATCGCACAAGATATACTGGGCCTAAGAACTCTGAAAATTTCCCCTCCACATCCATCAACTAATTTTGCTTCTAGCAGAGGGGATTTCCTAAGGTTGAGCCTACAGAGTGCTAGGTGCAGAGCAGATTTAGCAAGTATTTGTTAATTTGGACAATTTGGGAGCAACCTGATAATTAAATTAAGAAGAAAGTATCTCCCGTTCCTGACACAAACAGGAAATGCAGTAGAAGAGGATTTAGATTATTTTGACCCTCTTACTGTAGGGATTGGGTATATAGGTCAATGGTTAATATTAACATACTTTGTGTAATGAGTATCAAGTCCCCTGACAAGCAGGATAAACAATTCATCATAGTGTTTCAGAAGGGTTTTTGATATATAATCTCCATTTATACAAAATACATTATTTTTCAGGAAGGATGTTAGGGTAAATAATGGCATGCAACTTTAGGATAGAGTTCTGGTTATTAGGAGGTATGTGTACATGAAATTGTTATATACAATGTAGAACATACAGAAGAATAAACAGACTAGAATATACCATCAACCTATGAACAAGTTTTTAACACCTACACCCCTAATGACACCCGTTCTATATTTTTTATATTACTTCTGAAGCTCATTATAGACACCATATAATTTCATCTATAGATATTATCTAGTACAAACCGCCAAAGGAGTAGCCTTTGTTATGAAGCAAAATAATAACACCATTTTTCTCCTGAAAAAGAACGATATTTCCTTACTATTGTTAAATATTAGTTTTGTATTCTTACTTTTACTTTTTTAAAATAATGAGATGGATGGATAGACAGCTGGTTCTTGGTCTGGGCTGATTTTACCCACTAGGGGGCATTTGGCAAAGTTCAGAATTATTTTGTTACAACTAGCTGTGGGGAGGTGTGCCGCTGGCATCCAGTGAGCAAGAGGCTAGGGATGTTGATAAACATATAGGACAGTCCCCTGTGACAAATAACTGCTTTTTCCAAAATATCAGTAATGTGACTGTAGATACACCCACATAGGTAGATAAGAGTAGGAAAGAAAGGTGGAGGGAGGGGGAGAGGAAGGGAGGGAAGGAAAGGAGGAAAGAAGACATGAAAGAACAAAGGAAGAAAGGGTAACTAGCAGTTACAATGGGTAATAGCTTATATAGACGAGAGATGCAAAATGTTGATGCTCTCTGGCAATTTTAGTCACCACCCTAATGAAAAAATGGATTTATAATTGAAAAGTTGTTTTACAATATGTAATTATTTCAATCAAAATGTCCCATAAGTCGGATGAAGTTTCATATTTTTTAAGGAAAGAAAATAAGTGACCTAATATTAATTAATAGAACATCTGGGCTCGGGATTTAGCTCAGTGGCTCCACTGCCTGCCTCACAAGTGCAAGGTCTCGAGTTCAATCCCTGGTTGAAAAAAAAAGAACATCTATTTCTGGATAAAGTATATAAAGTAGCATTTCTTTTTTGGGAAGTGGAGTCAAATGAAATAAAGAACAAAATGTTTAATAAATAGAGGTCATGTTCTACAACAAATGAAAATTCTAGAAAAAAATTTAATTTGCTAAACAACAATCTGCCCAAGATAGCTTTCATTTGTGTGAAGTGATGCTATGAATGTTAATGGTTATGGCATATTTTAAAGATGAGAATTGGTATTAGTTACTTTAATACAGATAGAACTCTGCTCATTATTTTCTATCCAGAAACCGCTGGCAATAATTTACCCAGCAGCGCAGCATTTCAAACAGATCAAAGCAGCATTATTTAAGTGTGTCCAGAGGGCAGATTTTAGCTGTGTCTTATACCTTAAGAAAGAATACTAGTCTGCTTCCCAAGAAATAAAACATGCGTAACTAACTATGGACTTCACACAAGTCCTGCACTACACAAACTCACATGAATTCCACCTGTCATCTTGAAAGAACTTCTCTCCTGTCCCAAATAGTCTAAAATCCAAGGGGAGTATAGAACAAATGTGAGAAAGCCAGTCTCTCTAAATAAACAGCAAAGTATTTTCCTTTAAGCTAAATGAATGTAAACTAGATTCAGGAGAGGAAACGGCAGAGTCTGTAGTTGCTGTAGTAAGTGCCTGCCTGCTTCTGCTCATGGACAAGTGAAGTCCAACTATGAAATTTCAGGCAATTTGTATACCAAGCTCCTCCTTTTCTGCAGCCTTCTTTTCCATTGGTAAAATTCTTTTGCAGGGTCATGTAGGGATCCCACCCCTTCTCTGTGTTTTCACTCTGGAGCTCTACACAACTTTACACCTGAATGAACGCCAAGCCTCTGTGGATATATAAAGGGGACCTTGAAGAGGAATTTCACAGTTACAGTGGAGCAGCAGAGGGAAAGGAATTAACCAGCTCTTCAGCCAAGCAAATCCTCCACTCACCATGCTTCCTCCTACCATTCATTTCTATCTCATTCCCCTTGCATGCATCCTGATGAAAAGCTGTTTGGCTTTTAAAAATGATGCCACAGAAATCCTTTATTCACATGTGGTCAAACCTGTTCCAGCACACCCCAGCAGCAACAGCACGCTGAACCAAGCCAGAAATGGAGGCAGGCATTTCAGTAACACTGGACTGGATCGGAACAGTAAGTGTGTTTTATGTGTACAGATTTTTTTGTTCTTATTTGGCAGCATTAGCTCACATTCCTGTTAAATTGTTTCGCTGTTAACTAACCCGGACCATGTATATCTTTGCAAAACAATCTGGGACGAATTGCTGCATGTGTAGCTCGGCATTCTTCTCTAGGTACAGTTAACACAATTAAAATAGTGGCTTGCTAATGACAAGTACAGACTTAAGTTTTACCAAACATTCACAATCCAGGAATGAAACTGTCGCTTTTTCCTTTAAACACTATGCAAAATAAGAATTTTAAAAAGTGTTGTTCTACACAGTTAAAGTTGAGGCTGTTTTATCAGTTTATGTCAAGACGTGCAATTTTGGTAAAGTATATAAAAGTAATGAACTAACCAAAAGTATCTATAGGAAATCACAAGAGAAAAAAGTTCACTTGGATTTCCAAGATATGTCTAGTGAAATAAAGTTTGCTTATGCTCAGTGTAAGTGGGATAAAGCTAAAAATGCTGGATAGTCACCCCCCGCCAATTCCTTATTAATCACATCAAATTTTAGGTAACTGTATATTTCTGCAAAAGACTGGGTGTTTAAAATAACAGTATACTAATGTTTTGCATGGGGAGCATTTTTAAATCCTTTTATGTTTGCTTAATTGACACACTAACTGATCACTAGCTAGGAGGATTCAAATTTCCTCTTCTAACTTTTGTTTCCTTCTTTTCTTTTAGAAGAGTTCACATGTTAATACTCAGGGAGAGAGGAGAGAGAGAGAGAGACAGAGAGAGAGAGAGAGAGAGAGAGAGCAACAGTACACAGAAATCTTACACAAATCTTTTTTGAATCTCTTCTTTAAACTCCATTCAACTAGAAAATAGTTTTGCCCTTTAAAAATCCAGAGAAGCATGTTAATGTCTTGCTAAGAAAACCAAGGCATTTTAACTTTCCCAAAGTTTGTTGCTGTGTTTAAATACATAAGAATATGTGATTATCATTAGATTATAGAGCATTGTGGTAGGTATCATTGTCAATGAACTGTCACTGCAAAAATGCTGAATCTCTGCACGTACAGGAACAAAAAGCTAGACAAGTCAAAGGCATCTCTGGCTGTTTCCAGGTGCATTGCTAAGGCAGCTGCAGGAAGGTGAGCTGGAATCAGGAGGGGCCAATCCAGCTCACTGCTTAACACAATTGTTTACCCTTTCATTTCAAGTTCACAACGCTAGACCTATATGTATGTATGTGTACAGACACATGTTTTCCCACACTATTACACTCCCCCTGAGCTGTATCTCTGATCTCAGAAGTACTGGGGTACAGAGATGAAGTAAAACTAATTTGTTTCTACTCCAAGTTAGCTTTTGGTTTTCTATGTAGAAGCACTTCAGGGTCTTTTGTAATTTTTACTTTTAAAATTCCATCAGCCCTGTGCTTCTAAACATTGCTTTGTTTTTCATGGAAAACAAACCTTAATTTCTTTTCAAGCTTATTATAGGCAAGCTTGTTATCCTAATGTTTTGATAACAAAACTAGTTTAAGGAAAAGTTCAAATATTGCAAGATTAATATTTACCGTAATTGTATAAGACATGTTACAAGAAACAGTCACTTTGAGAATATACTTATTGAATCCAAATAAGTAACACAAAAAGTTTGCCATGACCAAAATTCAGGAAATGAATACCGTGGTTCCTTTTGCAGTTGTAAATCAGACATGTTAGGTATTTTTCTGCTATAAAATTCATGGAAACATAGCCAAGTTGTTATGGCAACCATACGTTCCTGATTTAGGGGCTTTTATATACTTTAAATTTTGAGTTGTGGTGACATTTTGCATTTCAAACACTTTACTATTTGTGTTTTTAAAATGTAGCTTGGGAATTTATATTTAAGATGTATTTATTAAGTTTGATATGCAAAATGTCAAAGGTTATACTCATGTCCATGTATGATTCTGTGCAGATTAATTCTGTAATTGAAATCACATATTACAGAGTGCATATGTATTGTATACACTATTTAAATACTTTCCACATTTTTCAACAGATTAAAAAATACTAATTAAAAGCACTTTCAGACATTAATTAACCAATAGGACCCATGAGAAAGAGAAGATTAAAGTGTGTTCTTTTTAACTCATTACAAAGTGAACATTTACACATACATGGGAGAGCTGCTTAACTTTTACTGGGGGATAAGAATAAGAAAATGAGGTTTTCCCAATACTCTAATAAGCAATTAGCTATTACAGATGAAAATGTCAAGCCTGGATTTTTCTTTCCAAAAAGTTACAGCCATTTTAAAAAATGATGTAATAGATGTCTTTCATGAAAGTAGGTACTTTCTTTTTGGCAACTTGCCATTATTTGGATATTACTTTGTCATTCATCTCAACTTATTTATTTATTATTAATTTATTTATTTTAGAAGGTTTCCTTTGCTTTTTGTCTATGATGCATGTTCTTTCTGTTTCCTGCAGGTCGGGTCCAGGTGGGTTGCCGGGAATTGCGGTCCACCAAATACATCTCAGATGGCCAGTGCACCAGCATCAGCCCTCTGAAGGAGCTGGTGTGTGCGGGCGAGTGCTTGCCCCTGCCTGTGCTCCCTAACTGGATTGGAGGAGGCTATGGAACCAAGTACTGGAGCAGGAGGAGCTCCCAGGAGTGGAGGTGTGTCAACGACAAGACGCGCACCCAGAGAATCCAGTTGCAGTGCCAAGATGGCAGCACGCGCACCTACAAAATCACGGTGGTCACTGCCTGCAAGTGCAAGAGGTATACCCGGCAGCACAATGAGTCCAGCCACAACTTTGAGAGCGTGTCGCCTGCCAAGCCAGCCCAGCATCACAGAGAGAGGAAGAGAGCCAGCAAATCCAGCAAGCACAGCATGAGTTAGAACTCAGACTCTCAGGCTGGACTGACTCTAACCATCTGCTTTACAGATTTGATTGCTTGGAAGACTCAAGCCTGCCACTGCTATTTTCTCACTTGAAAGTATAATGCTTTCTGCTTTGATCAAACCCAGCAAGCTGTCCTGATTCAGGACCTCCTCTGGGAATAGCTTTTCCTCTTCAAGTTTTTCAAGATGTGTGTATGTTCATGCGTGCAATTTGCATTTAAATTCCATACATCCTGTAGTTTTAATCCCTGTCATTCTTAAAAGACTATTGATACTATACGCATTGCTCAGTCATGACATTTTAAAACAGTTTCTAAGTTCATCCCTGTCATTTCCAGACAACAGCCCTTCAAAACGGAAAAGTTTAAAAAATTGTTGCTGTGAATCTTCACAGTAACGTTTGAAAAAGGTGCTTTTTCAGAAATTTTCATGGAAATAATTTAGCAGCCATGAGTGATCTTCTTTGAAAGAGGGAGAAAGACCTTGTGACATTTCACTTCAAAAATAAGCCCTGTAGCTTTTTACACTCTCATAGTTTGAAATTATACCCTGCATGCTGACCCTTGCTTGGAATGGAATGCCAGAAATGCATGGCAGCAGCTAATAAGTAAAGCTGATTAACTATTTATTTGTCAATGTTATTATTTAATGAGATTTCACATGTGATTTTTTTCAAAATGTTAATTTTTTTATGTTTTGAAGCTTTGTCATGTACCTAAATATTTTCCTATATGATTTGTGGTTGCTCTAGAAATATGAAAATACATTTTGTAGATATGTAAAATAAATATTTTAGTTTCCTTATTATGTATGTGTTTCAACATGAACTGTATCAATAGTGTGGATCTTTTAAAGCCAATAAGATGCTTTGTAAAGCTGAAATATATAATACTTTCTTGTTTAGTTTGTGCAATCAAAAGGTGACTTGACCTTCAATTCTATTTGTTTCTATTAACAAAAATAAACACTGCTACAATTATTGTCCTTGCCTATAAATGTAAAAAAGGATATATGTTTGCAAAAACTGTAGAATAAAGTATAAGAGTAAATGGTTTTATGTGTGTGTGTGTGTGTGTGTGTGTGTGTGTGTGTGTGTACGCATGCGAGCTAGGGATTGAACTCAGGCTTTGTACATGCTAAGGAGGACACTTTACCACTCAGCCATCTCACAGCCTCAGTAATTGATTGCTTGGCTAAGTGACACTCAAACTTTGACTGAAAAGTCTGTATGAGAAAGGAAGGAAAGGGAAAGAAAGGGAGTACATATCTTTAAAAAATGAGATGGTTGAAAAAACGGGGTGGCATTCCAGCATTGCTAATGAGTATACCAGATTTTCTACAACAGTAAGTGCCAAGGCTGTTATATATTACAATTACCTAGAGGAGTATTCTAAGACTCACTGCCCAGGCTTTCATCTAGGCTACATCAGAATTTCTGGGGACACAACTCAGATATCAGCAGTAAAGTTTTCCAGGCGATCTCAGTGTGAGGCTAAGTTTGAAGAAATCAGTAGGTAATATTGAGGAACTTTAAATATTATCGTATGGCCCCAAACCAAAAACCAAAAACCAAAACCAAAACCAAAACACAAAATAGAAAGAACAAGCCCCCTCTCCAAAACTACTTTTTAAAAACATTATTTTTTCAAACATTATTATATTAAGCAACATAATCACAGATTTAAACTAGATTTTAGAGTTAAATGACTGATGTGTTAATTCGGTCCAATGACTGATTCAATCCCCCTACATGAAGAAAATCAGAGTCTGGGTTCTGTATGGCTAAGGTTTTCTGGGTTTTACCCTTTTAGATGCTGAGCATCGAGGACTACTTAGCACATTTTTATAGCAGATTGTGCTTTTTTGTAATTATAAACTTAAAAAAATCACTTGTATATTACATGTGACATAATTAAATAAGGACATTAATATTGTCCCCTCCTGAGATGTAGAAGAGTTTATGAATATATATACATATATATGCATATATATATATATATACACACTAGAAAACAGCTGTAGACTTTATAATAATGCTAATATTGTATCATCAAAGAAAAAACAAATGATAGTCTACTATTGATTTATCTTCTAGTCTTAATAAATAAGATTTTAAACTATTTTATATCACAAAAATTATATCATAAGCTGAATATGCCAAAATTTGTTATTACACACATCTGTTTTACTTGTTCATCCTCAACATGGGATATGAAAAGCAACAAAAAACTGAGAATGATTCAGCCATTTCTTCATTCCCAGTAACATAGCATTTTCTATAGAAGACCTTGGAGGGGGCCTCAAAAATCAGTGTGTCCTAAGATCTGGGAGGTGAATTAAAATGATTATGTTGTTGCCTTTACTAATTAAACACTGAAACAAAGCTTTCAGTGAAAATAAAATGCTCAAATCTTTCACTTAGTTGATTTCTTTTTTTGTTGTTGTTGCTGTTTTTGAGTTGATTTCTAATGGTGATTAGAAAATATGTCATGAATACACTAAGAAACAGGACATGGTGGAAAAGAAGCTTATAAATAAGACTTTTGTAGTTTCTGCTAAGCCAAGAATTGGATCTATTTCTTATTCAATTTGTTGGTCCCTGTCAGCCGATGTTATACTGGCACAGCATAAGTTGCTCAAAATTCAACATCAAATGAGAGGAAAAGGTCAGCAAGCAGTGGGAAAGGCTTCACATAAAATCCACCTCTCAGTGAAGTGAAAATTAAGTCAATGGAGTAGCTTCTGGTTATTATTTAAAAATGAGACAAAGGACTTGTGTCTGAATTGCTGATTATATTTTACGTCTTTCCCCCCAGTTAACTCACACGGTATAGTTTTATTATAACTTTAATAACTATCATTTCAAAATGGTAGATTATGGTAATTTTAGAATGGTCTGATCTCTAGTTTACATTCAAAATATTCATTCATAAGAGGATTTACTTATCGAATTTATTTTGGCCACTGGATAAAGAACTTTTTCAAGAGGTATGATAGATACAAAGATACAAAGATAGCTATAAGTATACTGATATCTATAGCCATATTTTATATATATATATATATCCCACATATAGACATATCAATAAGAAAAATTAATAGCACATATACAACTGAATTACATATATAGTATGCTATACCTAAGCCAAACATGGACATGGAAACTTAAAAATATGTATTTGCAGACAAGTTTATATTTGAGGTACAGATCACTTGTATTTATTAATTTAGGTTAATTAAATAATTATTAACTGGCAGTAATTTATTAATCATGTTTACTTTATTGTATAGTTTTTAAAGAGCAAAGTTAAGGTGTGTGTGTTTAATAAAAAAGACCAAATTTTAACTCATTCTTGCCCTTACTCAAATGAGTATGGTAAGGTCTTACCAGGAGATCTTACAGTATCATTTACCCTACAAATCACTATTATATATCCGCAATGATGCTGGAATTAATTTTTTATTATGGAATATAAATTGTCTATTGAGTATAATGTTTTTAATGGGTACTCAGCAAAATGATCATATTTGGAAGTTATGTGTGGAGAAAATAGTACTTAGCAGCAACAAAATCAGGAAACTTCCAATTTGCTAAAATTGCTAAAAGCTTACATTTAGTATGCTATACTATTATTTTTTGCTATCACCATGAAATTTGAGGCATCAAAATCGAATTCATTGTCTTTGGGATTAAAGTGTTAGGTAGATTAGACTAAACTCTTGAAAGTATTTGTTAGTTATAAGATGGTAATTTTTTCATACCTTAAACTCAGCATTTATATGCTTTCACTACTGATTTAGTCCTAATAAAAAATAAAATGCATGGCAAATTTTGATGGAATCCTTGTAGAAAATCAGAAGTATTATGGTAAAATAACTTACAATGTTCAGTGCTGGAAAGTAGCAGTCTCTTGTTAAAATACATTTCTCTCCCTCAAGGAAGCCATGGCTTCCAGCACGGTTTCAGTGGAACATACTGAAATCCAGTTTTATGCTGAAATAAGTAGACCTTTGGCCACTAGAAATCTTTGTTATATCCACCGTGAGAGACCTTCTGGAATAGAATCTGTAAAACATTCTACACCCCAGTGTCATTTTCAGTTCCAGTGGTGTAGGTATCATTCCTACAACACATTTGGTGTATTTGCCTGTATATTTTGCAAAATGTTTTGAAGACCTATAAGGTAACAAGTACTGCAGAAATCCCTTTGGGGAGATATTTAAATTTCCAGGTTCACGAATTGATTAAAATTAATTCATGCCAAACTGACTGCGCAATTATTTCCAGAGCAAATTAGACTGAGATAGTTTATCATTTGCATTGGCTGACTTGCTGAAGGTTTTATTTTCTGTTAACAAATGAGTGTAACAGTTTGGGGGATTCCTTATGAAAGAACTTAAAAGATTTTACTTTAATTTTAGTACTGCAAACCAAGAGTTAGCTTGTATTACTGATTTCATTGTTGGCAGTGGGATTAGGTATTTGCATCTAAAACAGAATGTATAAACTGAGTGAGGTTGTCAGGGACTAGGATTTAGTCAAAGCTTATTGTTAAAATTAATCCAGAGTTTTCTGCGGCTAAGAGATGTTACTGTTAAAATATAAGCATCACTTTTTCAGTAGAAATAAATTCTCCTTTGAAATTTATTGTCATGTAAATTCAGGCATATTTAAAAAAACTTTTATCATACGATATTGACAAATTTGTCACAAAATAATCATTTGTGTTCATTTATTCATTGTTGTTAATCTAATTGTGGCACTTGACAGCCTAACTGCCCAACAATCCAGACTTTAAATAACCCTCTTTAATCTCTAATAAGCACTGTATTTTAAGTACTTGACAGTTTTTACTGACTTATGTGTATATAGATATATGTAAAGTATATATTATATATCTATGATATATATGATAATAATTATTTGCCTTGCTTCCTTACTTTTCATACATAGTTTATAAGTTACAAAATAATTTCTTCACCTTTCTTTTTAAAACTTTTCTGGGAAGCTGAGTAAGGAGGATCAGAAGTTTGAGCCCATCCTGGGGAACATAATGAAATCTTGTCTCAAAATAAAAAAGTAAATAAATAAATTTAAAAGGGCTGGGGATGTAGCTCAATGCAAAGGCCCTGGGTTCAATCTCCAGAACCACAAAAATAAAACAAACAAACAAAATCTTTCTTGCCACAATTTTTTAAATTGCAAATGAAAAGCAAAAATATAGCCAAGTGCATTGAATAAGTTTTCTTTCTTGCCATTACCTTTCCTAAGAGTTAATTTTAACTCATATTATACTAATAAACATTTCACATTTAATCTGTGACTTAGTTTGATATGTTAAAAATAGTAAATGAAGTTTTCAATTTGACTCATTTGCAGTGAGTTTCAAACCATGTGAACTTGAAAACAGAAGACCTGGCATCTGGTTCACACTGCTCTGGGACCAATATGTTGGGTAAATTTATGCTTGTTCTTTCAGTTTCCTGAGTCTCAGTGACTTCATCAGTAATGTAAGGGAGTTGAAGCAAATTATGTCTAAAAGTCTTCTAGCTCTAAAATTTTTCACATTCCATTATCTCAGACAATATGATCACATATCCAGTCACAATGACTTTCACAAAAGCCAGTTTGATTTAAATCCCTTGAATTCTGATTGTTTCCTGTTTGCT